CTAGCTGGCCCGACAGACGTCTTCCTGTCCTAATGTGGTTTATGTCAAATACTTGCTCATTTTCAAGATGAGCTCGTTCGCATGGCTCAATCACGTCCTGTGGAGCTCGTTCGCTACGTTAATTCACCTCCAAGTTGAAGTTCGTTCGCTACGCTCACTCACCTTTTGGTTGCAAATTAGCTGTTGTTGTAAAATAAAAAAAATAATAGTGCTGCACCCTGTTGGTAAACCTATTAACTTTTTAATGAAATTGAACGTCACAGAATCAAATTGTTTAGTGGAACCAGCTGTTAAGATTCTTTAATTCCATTTAAATATTAGTACTCATAAGGTTAACAGTGGGAAACTCCAGAGCCACTGGGGCGGAGCCCTTTTGATGGATCTGCACCAAACTTCACACAAACCAACCTTGAATAATGCTTAATAATGCCTGAAAGTTTCATTACAATCTGTCGAGCGGTTTCGGAGTCCATAAAGGACAAACAAACAAACAAGTAAACAAACAAACAAACATTGGATTTTATATATATAGATAGTGTTTTGTGATTGGTTATTATTTGCGTGTTGTGTCATGACTTGACTGCTATATACAGTGTATATTTTTTTACGCCTACACTCCGTAGTGTATTCCAACTTAGGTTGGGCGTTTGTGTATTGTTAGTTGTAATGTGTTAGTTAAGTTTTTTTCACCTGAGGACGGGATCAGATTCCAGATCCCGAAACGCTGTGTTTTTTTTTTACCATCGTGATGGAAAATATCCGCAATAAACCTTTGAACAACATTAACTCACCATCACCAACAATGGATTTTAAACGAAGAGGCTTATTATATTTTTGAATGTGTGACACTGTACCTGCAAGTGAATAACAGATCAATGTTTTGTTTTTAATTTGAAATGCAACCTGAACTGCTTGCCATTATGGACATTGGTCTATGTGGTAAACTAAAGACAGTGGAGGAGCCAGTGCTTGTCGCAGTAACAAGATAGTACAAGCAGATAGTCTTTAACCCAAAATGTCTGTCTTATTAGCCTGCAATGCTACCCCTAAGCTACCGAGTTTGTTAGATAATGAAATGATTTGGATTGTTCCCTTGCCAAAGATTGTACAAACACTTTTGACCAATCTTCAGTTTGTTTGTAGTTTACCACTATAAACCAAATTTCACCTTACACTTGTCTTTCCTTTTTCTATAAAAACATTTAATCAGAAAGATTTATTATCGATTATATCCTCTTAATACTTAAGGGATAGGTCAAAAACTGTGGCACATGGTATATCTCCCCTCCCTCAGAGATATAAGATAAACAAAATGAATGAGGGGTTACATAATATTGAAGCCACAGTCAGTTCACAACATATAATACTATGCAAGGGAGGATTGAAGTGTGTAGGGGCAAGTGCAGACCTTGTGGCCATTTTAATAACTACTTATCTGTAGACCTATTGGTACTTTTGTGTCTACACGTTATTAGTTCACTCATTACTTTCCATTGCTATAGCCTAAACAAGAATAGCCTAACCTGACCTCATAAAACTCCTTTCTTTTTTTCTCTTGTGGGGTTGGGGTAATAGCCTACCACTGACTACTTCGGCCTGGAGGCCTATTGTAGCACCCCTTGAATCATTCTGACAGCCCTAGGCTTCTCAAGTAGCCCAGGAGCTGAAAGACACCCAGCTTCCTTATCTCTGTTGGTTCCAAAAACGACCTCCCCAGGGATGTAAGCCTTCTTTGGGCCAACGCTGGACAGTCCAGCCATAAGTGTTCTGAGGTTTCTACCTCGTTCTCGCAGAACCTGCATTGGTCTGTCTGTGACCTACCTATGGTCCTGAGATGTTTCCTGATAGGACCGTGCCCTGTTAACACTCCTACTAGTAGACTAATGTTCCCCTCGTTAAGGCTCAGCACGCCCTTCCAGCCCTTCACATTGGGGTCAATTAGTGTTTTAGACGTTTAGAACTCCTTTCTTACTTTCAAATCGATCTACCCAAATTATCTGATCTGGGAGTAGTGTTCAGGAACAACATTGGAAGGCCTAAAAACATTGATTTGATTTGCAGTAATTTAACATGCCAACAGGTACAAAATGGTGCATTGGTGTATAGTATTGTGTTGTGACCAAAGCTAAATATTACGAAAAACCAACACAAGAGAACTATGACAAGGCTTTTGATCAACTCATCAACGACTTTTAAAACAGAGGCTTAAAAACTTTGATTTGTTCCCCAATGGGGTGTGTTAGAGACTTTATACAACCTGAGCACTTTATTAATAACATCATTAGTTTTCAATCTGTGACTGGCGCCACAGTCTACATAGTTTTAGATGAAAAAGAAACCATAAGAATGTCAAAAAGATAGGCGGTGGTCTTCATAAAAAGCTAACAGAACTCCTCACAAACCATAGTAGACACTCTAAATCCCGATAAGAAAAATCTCCAGTCCTACTTACCATTGAACCACCACGGAACACATCTGTTACATCCACACCTAAGAGTCTAACAAGACATGCTCCAACACCATCACCTACCAATGCCTCTCTGGAGACAACCACTATGCAGACTACAGAGACCAATATTCCTGCTCCAATCTCGACATTGGCTTGTGCAAAGTGGCAGTGAGGGATCTTACCCGGCCCAGCAGCAATTCCAGTACAACATGACAGACGAAAAAGCCCCTGACAGTGTCCAGTGTGTTTCAAGTGAAGTGCTAAGGCAGAGTAATTTTGCCAAGGATGTGAGTGATATAAGAAATCTAGATAAGCTAACTGATTAAAAAAACCAAGATACCCAAATTGTAATGAAAGCCTCCTAGTAAAAGATAATTATTTTGTAGCTTGAAATAAGTCACAAATTAATATTTTTAATAGATGTTTGAAGTGGAAAAATTGTAAATATTAAAAAATAAACAGAGCTACTAAATTTTTAATGCATTTAAATGTTCAAGGGGGTATTTTAAATGAAATGCATGAATTGTACATTTTCCTGGAAGGTTCAAATGTGGATGTTTAGATATTCAGACTTCTGGCCCGTTCTAGGACTTTCTTGAGTATTTCATCATTTTCTTCTTTAGAGTTAGAAGCTATGCATAAGTCATCAAAGTAGACTGTTACCCCCGGAATATCCTCAAAATATCTTGCTACACACTTATGAAATAGTTCAGGCAAATTACTTAAACTAAATGGGCAATGCAAAAATCGATAAGTTCCATATATTGTGCTGAAATTACAAAGTTGACTAGATTTTTTTTTTAGTTTGATGTGATAGAAGCCATCTTTTATATCTAAGACGCTATAAAATTGTTTATTAACCCAATTTTGGAAATATCTCATCGATGGTGGGAATCTCTCTCTAACGGTGTACTTATTTAGGTTTTGTGGGTCAATACATATTCTCAATGAGCCATCAGGCTTTTTAACTATCACTACATTTGACACCCATTCTACAGGCTCATTGACTTGTTCAGTTATACCTCTATTTATGAGATCATCAAGCTTGTTTTGGTGATTTTCAATGGGATACGCCTAGCAGAATTGGCTTGAGGTACCACGTACAACTGCAAATCTTCTTTACCCATTAAATTCTTCAATCGTGCCACTTTTACAGGATTGGGTTTCTTCACTGTCTCTGTGGCTATAAAGTAGTTTTCAATATCTTCCTTGAACTGCTGAAATTTTCTGGCATATTGCCAATAATTTTAGATCTGGTAGAAGTACAACATCAGCAGTAATTGAATTTATAAATCAGGTCCCGGGGGGTTTGGATGCATCACTCTGTGATGTGTCTAAGGCCTTTGAATGTGTTGATTACCACATTTTAATAACAAAACTAAAATATTATAAATTTTCTGATCTGGCCTTGTCTTGGGTAAATTCATTTAGAAAACAGTTACCAGAAGACAATTATAATGAAAGACAGTATAAAATTTACAAATTTTCTGATCTGGCCTTGTCTTGGGTAAATTTATTTAGGAAACAGGTACCAGAAGACAATTATAATGAAAGACAGTATAAAATTTACAAATTTTCTGATCTGGCCTTGTCTTGGGTAAATTCATTTAGAAAACAGTTACCAGAAGACAATTATAATGAAAGACAGTATAAAATTTACAAATTTTCTGATCTGGCCTTGTCTTGGGTAAATTCATTTAGAAAACAGTTACCAGAAGACAATTATAATAAAAAACAGTATAAAATTTACAAATTTTCTGATCTGGCCTTGTCTTGGTTAAATTCATTTAGAAAACAGGTACCAGAAGACAATTATAATGAAAGACAGTGTAAAATTTACAAATTTTCTGATCTGGCCTTGTCTTGGGTAAATTCATTTAGAAAACAGGTACCAGAAGACAATTATAATGAAAGACAGTGTAAAATTTACAAATTTTCTGATCTGGCCTTGTCTTGGGTAAATTTATTTAGGAAACAGGTACCAGAAGACAATTATAATGAAAGACAGTGTGAAATATACATCTGAATGGCAAAACTGAATTGTGGGGTCCCGCAAGGATTGATTTTAGGCCCACTCTTATTCTTGGTTTATATGAATGACATACCAAAAAACTCATACCAAAAAATAATTTAGAATCATACAGAATAAACCAATTTGAACATAACCATCCAATCCGGTTTAAAAATTACTTTCAATACCCAAGACACCGCCCCTGTTTATTTGAAAAATTCCCTTTTTTATAAGAGTTTAAAACTTTTCAATAGTCTATCAGCTAGAATCAAAGAAATTCAAGAAATCTCCAAATTTATAAACGATTTAAAGCCCTATCTTTTATCTAAAGCTTATTACTCCATAACTGATTATTTAAATGACAATGATCCGGAAAGATAACTTATATTATAGCTGAACCTATTTTTACTTTATTTGTTATTTCTAAGAATATTAACAATGTCACCTGTTTCCTTAACTGTGCTGGAACATTGGAAATGTATATTTATTGTGACAATAAAGTTATATATTCTATTCTATTAATTACTGGGTTTTCTGCAGAAACACATTTTCAAAAAAGCTGGGACTACCTCAGTCGGACAAGCAGTTGGTGGAGATGTTTGCTGAAATGTTGGAAGAGACAAAGGCAGATTTCACAATGAGCTACCGAGACCTCAGTGAGATTGAACTAGATCAGATGGACAAACCATGTCCAGGCCAATACTGGGCTTTGGCTACTGTGGCCCAGCACGACGCGTACCCTAGGTTTGTGTCTGCCTACAAGGAGAAACTGAAAGAAACAGGTAGGAGACATACTGTATCTATTTATTTATGTAACCCTTGAGCTAGAAAGGCTGATATATTGAACATTAAATATGTCAGATTTGTTCCCTTTTTAAATAACATAAGGTTAAACGAGTAGCTTTGCTGCTCAAGGGAAGGCAGTAAGTTGTTTTAGCAATATTTTAATAGCTTAAGATGAAATATGCAAATTTATCAAATCAAATCAGAACATATCCATAAACAAGCAAAACACAACAGTTTCCATAAAAATAATCTAGGAGTTTTAAACTTACTATTTTAAAATTTTTTATCCGTAACTAATAACTGAACTAAAACACTTCAAAGTACTGAATTATTTGTTTTTTTTTTGTTTTTTTTTACTATACAAGATGGTTTCGTGAGAAATTAGGACTTTATATGTTTTGTTTGAGGGCTAAAATCTAGAAAAACCTATTTTCACCCTATTAAACCTTGTTCCCATAGACCGATTATGCTGGTTTGTGGACTCGTTCATATAAATGTAAGTTCACACGTTTGTACCAAATTTAATCAAAATAGTGAGTTGTTCATTCAAAATTATGTATGAAACACCCTACATTTTTAACAATATAGATAAAGCAATGAGACTTGGTATATCAATCATAGCCATAACTGTCTACTCTTTTAAGGTACTATAACTTTTTTATCCCTAAAAGGGGACGGCCCACGTGGAGTCAGACAAAATTCTTAAATAGCAGCATAGGTCGAGTTTGGTATCTAATTGAAGGTCTTTGTTAGTAGAACACATTGCCGCAAACCCGAACTCAAATGAAAATTTTAATAAAAAATGGCAGCCTTTAAAATATTTCTTAAATCCGCCATTTTGAATCTCTGAGTGGCTGCCATTTTCTACTCAGTTTTTCTATTGAGCTTGAATTTGCGTTATTGCATTCTACTATTTAAGACCTTTAATTTGTTGTGCATATTGACCAATGCTTTGTCTTCCTCATTCTCGCAGTCGCCCCTTTGAGGAGGTAGCGTATAATATCAATGCAAATTCAATGAATCTTTGAACAGCTGTCACTTTTTACTCAATTGTCCTTTTGAGTTTGGGTTTGCGGCAATATGTTTTTCTAACTACCTTTAATTAGATAACAAACTCGACCTATGCTGCTATTTAAGAATTTGGTCTGACTCCTCATGGGCCATCCCCCTTAAGGAATAAAAAAGTGATAATAGCTCAAAAGTGATAATGCATAGGCGTAGTTCATGCCGGCCCATAATTATCGTGCGCTCTCAGTTATTTACTGTATCTAGCTAGGTGTCATAAGTAAACGGAATCAGAGAACCGCTCTTGCTTTTTACGAAACGAAATAGTTGTAGACTGAAAACATCCAAATGGAGGTATAACTGGCACGGCAACTCTGCTAGAAAATCGAGACGCTGTAAAACGTTGTTATGTTGGTACCACTAGAAAAATCAATCAGCTAATTGGCTGTTGGCAATTGCAATGCCCTAGTTCCAAAGTAATATTCCCCTAGTAAATATGGCAGCCAACGTCTCTCAATTCTCACATTCAGTGCTACCTTCGGTTGTAGCTCTAGTTCAGTGCGAGCAACTATTGCCGCCATTAAGTAATTGTATGTAATACAATTCCCAATTGACGCACGACTGTGGATTCGGATTGAATTGATGTTTAATATTTAATATGTTACTTAAAATTTTATTAACAGAGTATACTACGACACTACTCAAATTTTAAATTAACAAGTGTACCTAAAACCATGAACTAGACACGAAAAACAAACTTCATAATTTACAATGGGATGAGAAGGCTACTTGTATTGTTTAACTTAGTCTATGGTTCAACCAGCATACTTGGAAAATAAAAGAACCGTGTAAAACCCTATTTCGTTTGCTTTAAATAAAAATTTACTTTAAAAAAAAGGCGAAGCATATATTTTTGTTGTGTTAAAAAGTAGGCCTACCGACACCATTTTTTTGTCACACCATCGGTACTTTTGTCTTAAGCTTACTCCAAATTTAGCTATATTTCAACATCTGTGATATTTTTTCTTTTTCCTTCACTCATCTAAAATAACATACCATTTCTTAAGGCCTATTTTGCTTGGAGCGACTGTGTGTGTGTGTTGAGCGATTATCGCTCAGCTACTATCGCTGTTGCGGCGGCCATTTTGCCTAGAGCGATTGATTTTCGGTCGCCGCGCGATTTTTCATAGTTTGTTGAATACCAGCACTCTCAATGGTGAAGTCATAACCGCCGAGCCTGGAGACTGGAGTTTTCCCTGATAGTAGGAAGCAAAGCATTGTGATTCCGCTCCCAAAGTGCTCTAATCCAACTACGAGCAGCCACTACCGCCCAATATCAATTCTGCCTGCCTGCTCAAAAATATTAGAGAAAATTATTGTGGAACAGTTGGTAGGTTACCTGGAGGAGTCGGACATACTTTTAAAGTCACAGTCGGGTTTCCGCAGAGGGTTCAGTACCTGCACTGCTCTTCTCAATATGACCGATGAGCTTCTTCAGGCCAGGGACCAAGGGTTGCACAGCTTTATGGCGTCGCTTGATTATTCAAATGCTTTCGACTCTGTTCATCACGATATGCTCATATCAAAGCTCAAGTTTCTAAAATTCTACGAGAGTACACTCAAATGGTTTTCGTCATATCTTTGTCACAGATCTCAGGTGACAAAGGTGAATGGTAGGTGCTCTGAGTTGCTTAAAAGAGAATTAGGGGTCCCTCAGGGAACTTGTCTAGGACCAATACTTTTCATATTGTATACGCATGACCTCGATAGCATTCTGAAATTCTCCACTTTACATTTCTACGCTGATGATTGTCAACTAGTTCTTTCCTACACCCCTTTTGATTTTCATGAAGCAGTCAATCTCATCAACGCTGACTTGCTAAGGGTTAAGCAATGGTCTGACGATCATGGTCTAAAACTGAATTCAGAAAAGTGTACTATGCTTAATTTCGGGTCTTCTAGTTTGCAACCTAAAATTAGTCTTGTTGGAAAGGTAGAGCTGGACGGTCAAATTCTTTTGGTGTCTGATTCTGTTAAGGTGTTAGGCATCAAAATTGACTCTCAATTGAGTTTTCGCTCACATGTTACGCCTCTTTCACACGACGCGGCGCCCGCCGGATCTGGCGTAAGGCTATGGGAGTATATGAGTCCTTTCACACCATGTCCGGCGCGCGCCGGATGCACCATGCGAGTTACCGCCGGATGCACCTTCAGCCGGACGACAGCGCCGCGCGGCGTCCACGCCGTACAATTCGGTGAAGGTGCATTGGTTCTTATGGGAGCTTTCACACGGTGTGGCGCGCGCCGCACGGCCCAACCCCTACGCTGTCTCATTTTAGGCAAACTACCTGAGCAAGAGGGTGCAACAGTTAATTAAGAAATTATATATCGTTGTATCAGAAAATAATATATTTAAAGTTATTACAAAACATATATTTTTATGTTAATCCCATGCAAATCGACCAACTTAAAGTATTAAAACAAAAATTTTCCTTTAATAACTAGAGGAGAATATTTAGTATTAAATTAATAATTTAGTAATTTATACGTAATGAAACATTTTTTTTAACTTCTAGAATACAATATTTTCAGATATGACGAATACTTATATATAATACGTGAAGGTGATTTCTACGAAATACTATTCCTCCGTTAATAATGAACTGATTTCTACAAACGATGTGTCGAAATTAAGTATTTGTTGTGTACACGCCCCCTTTCACCAATTCCTGTTGTAAAAGTCCTCGGGCTTTCCCCCTCAGGCAATCAAAATCCCAATGTATATCTTATGAAGACAAGAATTTGTTTAGTTAAAAGGACGAATAATTTGTATTAATTACAGCTGTTCATAGTACACACATGATACACACAAGAGTTTTCGTTTTCAGTTTCGATAGATGGAGTGGAGTGAGCGTTCGTTTTCAGAGTGAGTTCGTTTCCAGTTTCGATAACTGGAGTGGAGTGATTGGTTACATTATCTCTCACACGTCAACGGAAATAGTGACAGTTATTCGTAAAAAAACTCCTTTAATATTTTGCAATTGCTCAAATTCGAGCAACAGGTGCACTAGTTTATTATATTTAAAATTATCCTATTCATTTAATTTGAACTTTTAAGTGGAGTATTCATTTAAAAGCCACAACTGATTAGAAAATAATAAATATTTAGGAGTGCCGTATGGCGCGCGCCGCACCAAACCGTACTAGTGTGAAGACACACGCTTACGGCGCGCGCCGCTTCGTGTGAAAGAGGCGTTAGTTACACGTGTCAGAGAGTTTCAAATAGGTCGAGAATTTTACACCGATTGAGAGGGATACTTTCTGAAACAGCTAAGCTAGAATTGATTAAATCAACAGTCTTCCCTATAATTCACTATGCACTTCCATCTTTTGGTGAATGTCTTAGGCTCGTCACACACTGCGTCCGGTCCGGTAAAATCGGATCAGGCATGCCGGATCAGGTAAATTCGAAAACCATTAATTCAAATGGAAGTCCCCACACTGCATCCGGTCCGATGCGTCAGGTCCGGTCCGGTAAAATTATTTCGGTCGAGAAGATTCAAGATTCAAGATTCAAAGAGTCTTTATTCACACAGTACAAATTTTCGTACATGAATAGTGTCTATTGTCTATTGTTACTTACTACCTAAATTAGCAATAAGAAACATTTAAACAAAATACTATAGGCTACATTATTTTAAATTGAAATTACTATAATCTTCTATTTTGTAAGGTGGAAGGTCAAGTAAGAATGCCTTCAGATTTTTCATAAATTTAGATTTGTCTTTTTCTTTTTTTAAAAAGCTAGGAAGTTTTCTAAAAAAATAGTTTCCAATATAAGAAGGTTTATTTTTAAAAAGTTCAAGTCTTGGTTTTTCTTTAGCTAAATAATTTTTACCCCTTGTATTATAATTATGCACAGGCAATTCTTGAGTCTCAGCAATATTTAAAAAATATTTAATTGTTTCAAAAATATATAAGGCGTGAACTGTAAAAATGCCCATCCCTTTAAAATAAGATTTGACGGACTGGTTGTATTTTAATTTATGTATTATCCTGATAGCTTTTTTTTGTATTTTCAAAATCTTTTTTAAATTCTTTTTCTTTGTCCCACCATAAATACTAATTCCATAGTTAATATGTGATTCAATATGAGCATGATATATCATTTTAAGTACTGATCCTTCACAGAGATATGACATTGTTCTTAGGACGAATATACCAGAATTTAGTTTTTTTATTAAATACTCGACATGTTTATTCCATCTTAAATCCTCATCTATTATCAAACCCAATAGTTTTGAGGTTTTAACTTGAGCAATGGAATTTGTATCTATATCTAACTTAATACTTTGATCATTTTTGTCTCTTTTCGTTTTGAAAAGAATGAAATTAGTTTTACTAGTATTAAGTACTAAATTATGGTCTTTTAAAAACTGATTCAGACTTTTTAATTCTGATTTAGCAGACATTTCTAAATCAGTTAGGGATTTCCCAGTTGTGTTAAGATTAATATCATCTGCATATATACTTATCTTACTACCTGGGTCTTTTAGAGAATTTGGAAGATTTTTAAGGTAACATATGAATAAAAGAGGACCAAGAATCGATCCCTGTGGGACACCAGATGATATCTTTGATAAATTAGATCTTGTTTTTTGGATGATGTTATTTTTTGACAAAGTTGATAGGCGATTGAAGCGATAGGCTTCCGGCAAGCTTCCGACGCCGGAGAGCTCGCGCATGCGCAGACGACTTCTACTCACCTCATGACAGTGACAGTGGGCACTGGGCACTGACAGTAGCAGCAGACGTGGTTTTGTGGTTATTGTTTACGCTGTACGACTTGTTACAAAATGTCATTGGAAGAGAAACTGATTGTGCTAGTACAGGCGTACCCTGTGCTATACGACCTAGGCCACAAGGACGTTTAAGCAAGAGCTGCTGAACTACGAATATCTCTTCACTGTCACTGTCACTCATTGCTTTAGGGAAATTTGGTTAAAACAAACTACTGTATGTTGTTGATTAAACACTTCTTCAACTCACAATACCGCTGTCCTCGCATAGACTCACACTGGTCGCCAGAACTGGAACGCCTGATGCAGTGTGTGGAGATTTGCCGGATATGGTGAAAAACACCGGATCCGATTTTACCGGACCGGACGCAGTGTGTGACGAGCCTTACTCTTGACTGTAGAGTTCTTCTTACGAGGTTGCAAAACCGAGCCCTAAGGTTTGTCTTCAATCTGAGGAAGTTTGATCATATATCTGCCTATCGCAAACAGGCTAAGGTGCTCTCTTTGGAAAAACAATGTTTTCTACAAACTGTTTTGATTGTCCATAAGACACTGTCTTCAATTTGCCTCCCTATTTGAAAAGGAAACTTGTGCCTCGAACATCAGTTAGGAAACGCTGTACTAGGCAGGACGGCTTGCTTGAAATGCCGAGAGTGTGGCGTGAGACAGGTAAAAAGGGGTTCTCATACTTTGGACCCCAGGCATACAATACCCTTCCAAGAAATATGAAAAGTCTGTCATGCAATTCTTTTAAGGCCAGATTAAAGTTGGTTTAGTTTCACCTACTGTTTGTACCGTTTGTAATAATTATTGTGTAAAATGTATTGTTTGTGACTTGAGTTGTCTTGAAAACCAGTTTTGACTGAAGACTGCTTTAAATAAAGGCATTTTATTATTATTTTATTATTATTATTAAGTCATGAGTGCGTTTTGTAACTTTTTAAAAATCTCCTCAGGTAGGAGTTAGACGACGAAGCTCTACTTGACCCTAGTGGAAGTATCAATTTAAAAAATACATAGTGTTTCCAGATTGATAAAAAAGACATAGTGATAATGGTGATACGTAGGATTTGGGATGGATACATATCACTAGGCAACACTAGATAGAATATAAATAGAAAACTGTAGTGATATCAATAAAAAATATATGTTTATATCAATTTAAAAAAATTAGTGATAACAATAAGAGTACTTGAATTTTGGAAAATATAACTTGAAGTCTAAATAAAAAAGATTTATTCATAGAAAAAAACTGATACAGTTTTAACACCCTCGCTACGTAAATAACACATAGTCAACTTGGAAAAGTCAAACATTTTATATTTAAATTCGAATGGACGAGGGTTACCAAAAAAAATTATACACATCCATTTGAGCAATGACAATGCAACGTTTGCTGGAAGTAAAGAGATTATTCTACAATTTAATGTAGAGAATGAAATGAATGTGTAAGGAAATATAACCAAAATAGTACAATCGTAACAGCACATGATTAGAAAAATTAATGTGAACAAAAAGTAAATCATGGTTATTTTAACCCCTATTATTAATGAACTGCACTGTTTTGAGGTTCTGCGCATGTGTCGCTGCGCATTAGTCGCGGCGTGATTATCGCTCAGACTGGTACCCAGGACAGTGGTCCGCGACTGTAGCTAGCGACTCTTGCGCTAGTCGCTCTAAGCAAAATAGGACTTTAACGCACATTTTTAGACTTGTTTGGACGACTTGGTTTTGGCGTTGGTATGGCACAATTAAGTAGGTGCCTATTACCTAACATAAAATGATGTTACGGTTGAAGAAGTTTAATTTGTTTAAATAGACAAAAAATTATTTTCATTTTAGGCTATGGAGGTTGTGATTTCTTTATTTCTTGATTTACAGCAAGAATTACCCCTAGCTGTAATTTATGTAAGGGTTATATGCTTTTATATCAACATTCATCTTGATTCATGATTTCTTTTATGTTATATTTTTCTCGACAATATTATAGGTGAAGATAATGGTTATTTCGGTAGGCTATATATTTTCTTAACTTCATTTGTTCTGTGGATATGTTAAAGTACTTATCTTCATCACTCAATCATGAGAATGTACTAGGCCTACTTGGGAATGATTGTTTTTTGTGCTGCAATTTATGTAAGGGTTATGCTTTTATTTTTATATCTAGTTATCAGAATTAAATTATAGAGTTTCAAAAAGTCATAAATAAATAATACTTTTAAACGGTGAGTTGGGAAAATCAGAAAAATTTTTTGTTATTCAATTAGGCTACTTCTATGGTATTTTACTCATTAGGACTTTTTTTAATTATTAGGAATCGATGGAATCAAAAAAAAAGACGAATCAACCCATCCCTAATATACATACATAGTTCCTCTTTTATAGAAATAGATTTATATCTCGGGTTGTTAATACATTACCAAGTTATTTCTGATCTAAAATTATTCAGTAAATGTTTAGCTTTAATTTTATTAATCAATTAATAAAATCTGACAAATTTAAATTGAGTTATGGACCATAATTTAAAATTAAATTATTTTTATTTTGTAAACTGTCTTTAGTTAAAGACATATATCCCCAATTCTAAATAACTCCAAAAACTCTTTATTGTCTTAAATAATTTGTCAAAGTATTGACTGTTATCTTAGCTATGGATTGCTTCTTATTGGGAGTTATTTAGAATTGGGGATTAACAGCTGTAATTAATACAAATTAATCGTCTGTTTAAGTAAACTAACTCATTTCTTTATAAGAAATAAATTGGGATTTTGATGGCTTGTGGGGCAAAGCCCAAGGACTTTTATTACAGGATTGGTGAAAGGGGGTGTCTACACAAAAAATACTTAATTTTGACATATTGTATGTAAAAATCTGTCCATTATTAACGGAGGAGTAGTGTTTCGTAGAAATCGCCTTCACGTATTATATATGGATAGAAGATAGATGGTTTGGGTAAATTTGTATGATCATGTAAAGCCAACTGCTAGAAATTGTTATAAGAGTTAGTGTAATTGATTGAAACCAATATTTATGGATTTCCTTATTTATTTCACAACTTACAATCACTCTTTTTAAAGAAAATTTGTTACAATACAATACTTCATAATTGAGGTCTGTTTAAAAGGTAAACCTGTAATTCATAAAATTACTCAGAATCTGTCTTTTTATTTTGTTGTGTTCTGATTTAAATAATTATCTTGTGTCAGGTATAACAGATGAAGAAAGACGCAAGCAGATGTGTCAAATCAACCCTAGATATGTCCTGAGAAACTGGATGGCTCAAAGTGCCATTAATGAGGCAGATGATGACAACTTCGTTGAGGTAAATGTTACTTACTTGGTGATTGTGCTTGTTTTCAACTTTGAATGTTGTCTGTTTAGTAGTCTTGAGAGAAGGTTGTTACTTGTCTGTGATTCTTTTCTGGATCCAGCCTTCATTGATTATTATTTTATGGTGGGCAGATTTTCCCATCCTTGTTAGTCAGTCGTGAAGTCATCGTTGATGCGATGCAACTATCGTACTGGTATCGCATAGCTCCACAAGTTAATAGTCGATATCGAATACCCCTAATTTACAACTTACTTAGAGAATCGCTGAAACGAAACGCTTCCATCTTCCATCTTCTTTCTCGAATCTTGGTTAGGTTCAGGACTCTAGATTCTCGTTCTTTGGTTCTTTCTTTGTTTTTGTTTGGTTGGATTACATGTAATCATGTAATGTAATGTCGACAAGCGTAACGAAAGAAAAGTTGTTAATCTTGTTTTCAGATATAACTCACTAGTCTAATTTTCAATTTTAATTTATACCCGTACTTAACTTACGAGAAGTTGTTTTCTGGATAGGCCTAGTTTAACTTAAATTATACATTTGTATATTTATATGACTTAAGTATTAACTTAGGCCTAGGCCTATTAGAGGATTTTAAATGGAGGCAACAGAAGATAATAATGATGGTGATCAAGTGGAATCGAAATTACACTTTGTTAAACATACGACCAATTTCTACTAAAATTGCAAGAAACCGAAGTATCTACGTATAGCAAATTTGTTCATTGCTATTTTGATGCCATGCCTTTGAATTATAAAGGGGATTATTACCAAAATAATAGGACCTAGGACTTGCAAAGTAGGCTACATAGCCTCTTGTATCAAACCTTGACTTTGTCTATTGCATGATTGTAATGCTGAAGGACAATAAAAACATTCTGATTCTGATTCTTGGTGTTCAATTAGGCTATGCCTGTTATGTTATTTTTGGCCTATGTCTAAATTTAGCATTTGAAATAACCAACTTAACAGATAATAGTTTTATATGTACAACTTAATGAGTTTCATAAATCTTAAGCTAGGTAATGCCAAACATAAAATACCCATACTAACTTAAATACATTTTAATAACTTAAGTTAGCTTTACTTAAATAAGTCCTACATTGTTGAATGAAAATCAGTAAAATAAAGTCCAATCTTGTTAAAGATCCCCGAAATTATGTTCCATTAAAAATTACGAAGATAGTTTTTTCTAGGTAGTTGCCCTTACATAATTAAAATTACCGAAAACATAGTTGTGGGCGTACGGATTTTGGCCATAACCTGTATAATAGCTTTAAGTTCTTGTTTATTATATCTTTTACTTGGCCACAAGCCAAGTCCAACTTGGTTATAAGCTCCTTTTTACCGATAATACAATTAGATTTGCGTATTATGAGCGGTAAATTTAAATTACAGACCGTTCTATAACTTTAGTTTAAAAGGGTTTTCTACTCTGACTATCAGAATCATGCTTCATATTCATAGATTCAGATTGTAGAGAAACAACCTAAACCTACATTAATAACAACCTACAAAACAACCATAACCAATAACCATGATGTTAACGAATTCAACGTGAATAACGATCAAATATCGATAGACTATATTTAGAACTACATCGACTTCCCGAATCGATCGAATCAACGATGACGTCACGACTGACTAACAAGGATGGGAAAATCTGCCCACCTTATTTTATTGCATCTCACTCATTTAACACTCTTCTTTCATTAGGAATCAACTACAATTGTGCTACTCTGTGTGGGTTGGGATGCATCCCGTGCAATAGGGTGTCAATGCAATAGGTATTCCAGTACTTTTTCGGCAATGTGCAAATAAATTTAAATAACACAGGAATTTGGACAAAAATGTGAATTTTAAATTTCAGTTCATGTAATAAATTATTGCAGTTCTGAAATAATTACTGTAATTGTATAAGTGACAATAGACGACCATCAACAAAACACAGTAGTGTGCAACCAATTAATATTGCGCATTACAAATATTTTATTAGTCAATCAAACAATTAATCATCTTTCCAATATCCTGCATTTTTACAAACTTAACATAGCATAATAAAACGATGGCCAAAGACCATGATGTTTAGTTGGCCTATATTAATACATTAAATAATATAGGTACTAGAGGTCGTACAGTGGTCAAAAACTTGTCCAAAAATTGTAATGTACATACCCCCAAAGCAGAACAACGAGCGACGCTGCGACATTGTCGCGGACACGAAACGCCGAGAAACGCGGGCCTGCGGACACATTTACGGAGTCATAACGACGATCGCACCGTGACCGCGAGTCATAACGACGATCACGCCGTGACCGCGGAGTCCTACCGACGATCACGCTGTGACCACGAGTCATAACGACGATCACGCCGTGACCGCGAGTCATACCGACGATCGCGCCGTGACCGCGGAGTCCTACCGACGATTGCGCCGTGACCGCAGAGTCCTACCGACGATCGCGCCGTGACCGCGGAGTCATACTGACGATCATGCCGTGATGGCGGAGTCATGCTGACGATCGAGCCGTGACCACGAGTCATACCGACGATCGCGCCGTGACCGCGAGTCATGACGACGATCGCACCGTGACCGTGGAGTCATACCGACGATAACCCCGTGACCGCGGAGTCCTACCGACGATCGCGCCGTGACCGCAGAGTCCTACCGACGATCGCGCCGTGACCGCGGAGTCATACTGACGATCATGCCGTGATGGCGGAGTCATGCTGACGATCGAGCCGTGACCGCGAGTCATACCGACTATCGCGCCGTGACCGCGAGTCATGACGACGATCGCACCGTGACCGTGGAGTCATACCGACGATAACCCTGTGACCGCGGAGTCATACCAACGATCGCGCCGTGACCGTGAGTTCTACAGACGATCACCCCGTGACCCGCGAGTCACAAGTTTCTATAGGTACCTGTAAATTGTTACCCATTTTTTGGTTTTTATAGATCAGTGCCACAAATGGTAAAAATTGATTTTGTATGTCTTTTTTGGTAACTGCAATACAGTACTTTTTTTATGCACAGAAAAAAATCCTGTCCCATCCCGTCCCGAAAATCGGGAAGGAAATAAAAATCCCGTCCCGTCCCGTCCCGAACTAAAATTTCAATCCCGTCTATCCCTAGTGTGTTTATATAAAGAAACTATAGTACATTTAAAGTTTTACTTCTGAAGACCTTGTTAACACTTGTTAAGGTATGTGTATATATATACGTATTTAAAAAAAAGTTAATTTAAATAACCTGATTATGCCTACCCCTTAATAGTTTTTTAGTTTTTTGTTTTAAAAGTAGGCTATACACGTTATTGAAATTTACTTATTTTATTTAACTATATTACTAGTAGCCCTAAAGAGTGAATATATATATATATATATATATATACAGGGTGTTTTTTTAAAAACTTGCATCTTTATTTATGTAAAAACCGCAATAGATAGAAATATGCAGTTTGCGGGAATCATCTATTGACGTAGGGGGCCCAATTGTTTTGAATTCAACGTTACAATCACATTCCCCCCCTTTCCCCCCCTGCCCCCAACTTATTTTTTTTAAATAGCAAGGTACCGCTCGTGACATATCAAATGAAAGAGCATAAAAAAAGAAAATGTTTGATGAAAAAAAATTAAAAATCGGTTAATAAATTTGCGAGATATTTCCCCCCCCCTTCCCCGGAACTTGATTTTTTTTTATAGCAAAGTACCCCTTGTGACATATCAAATGAAAGAGCATGAAAAAAGAAAATTTTTGGTGAAATTTATTTGTCATTTGATATGTCACAAGGGCGGGTACCTTGCTATTAAAAAACAAGTTATGGGTAGGGGAAAAAGGGGGGGATTATCACACAAATTCATTAGCCGATTTTAAATTTTTTTCCACCAAAAATTTTCTTTTTTCATGCTCTTTCATTTGATATGTCACAAGGGGTACTTTGCTATTAAAAAAAATCAAGTTCCGGGGAAGGGGGGGGGAAATATCTCGCAAATTTATTAACCGATTTTTAATTTTTTTTCATCAAACATTTTCTTTTTTCATGCTCTTTCATTTGATATGTCACAAGGGGTACCTTGCTATTTAAAAAAAATAAGTTGGGGGCAGGGGGGGAAAGGGGGGGAATGTGAATGTAATGTTGAATTCAAAACAATTTGGCCCCCTACTTCAATAGATGATTCCCGCAAATTGCATATTCCTATCTATTGCGGTTTTCACATAAATAAAGATGCAAGTTTTTAAAAAAACACCCTGTATATATATATACCGGTATATAAGTCATTATTTAGCTTTTTAGTTTTAGCGCTTGCGGACACATTTTGAGGTTTTCACAGGCCGTTGCAGACACGTAGGAACCATTCTGCTTTGGGGGTACATACTTGTCTGCACCCCACACTCTTTAAATAAAACATGTGATTGGAGTTTCTTATATTTGTTTTGATTTTCTGATATAATTCGTTGTTATTTCGTTAACCAGATATAGCATTGACTTTACAAAAGTATTGGATTAATATGCTAGATCCGCTCAATAATGCAAACATACAACTGCATTGTACACCTAGTATATATTTTTGTTCTTTTAGCAAATTTCCCTATTGGGAAGTAGCTATTACTGTAGGTGGCATGGTAAGACCTAGGCCGGGGACCGATTTACTTTTTCATTTTGATGTCCCCAGAGGCCAAAAACACCATTCATTCAAATTTTTATATATGGGGTTTTACTCCGTTTAATGGGGTAAAAATTGGTTTTCCTAATTTTTGACCCTCTAAACACAAAATTTCCCAATTTCTCTCGAGACTGTTTTAAAGAGCTTAAAAAACAAATAATTTAGTCTATCAAAGTGTTTTTGTACAATTGTTGGTTACGGAGAAAATAAAAAAAAAATTGTTATTTTAAAATTCCCATGTTAATCTTATGGAGAATATTGTAAAATGTTCTAGTTTGCTTGTTTATGGATATATTTTGATCAAACTTAGTAAATTTATTTAGTATAAAATAATATATACGCTGACACTTAATTGTTGCTTTTAAATGGATTTTCATAAACATTATTGTGCATTGTATTTTTGACTTCAATAATGTTTCCCCCTTCCATAGTGAGTACTTCATGTTTTGGTAGAGCCTTGCTTTTTTCCCTAGTCTAGCCGTGACCTCTGGCCTCATTATCCCATCACATTGCACACAACATTGTACCTAAGTGTGTAAAGTGCCCCAACATCCCCTATCAAAGTCATTCGACCTCTTGATTTCCAATCACCATTATCTGACTATTTCCCTCAATTATTCTCAACCCTTTCTTCCTGTTAGCTTCGCCACACGTCCTACTGGACTTGTTGTACATATAATAACAATTTTGGTTTTTCAGGTTGAGCGTTTGTTAAGAATACTATCTTCTCCATTTACAATGCAGGAAGAAGCAGAAGAAATGGGCTTTTCCAAACCTCCTCCTGGATGGGCCTCTAAACTGAGGCTTAGTTGTTCTAGTTAAAAATAGCTCATCAACCGTTAACCTCAAGTGGTCATTGCTTTAATGTGTTAACATCTACTTTTTACTGCAAGAAGGGATTGTCATATTAAAACCTAAGTAAAATTTTTATGTTTTTGTTTAAAAGACACTTCAGTTTTGTTTTTAAAATTTTCAGAGGTATTTTAGTTAAGTTTATCAAAATATTTTATAATTTTACTTTTAAAAACTCATCATGATGGTAGTTGACTATGTAGTTTGCCCTGATGATGCATTGTTGCAACCCATACAACAAGTCGGCCACAATCTTTGACAATTCAAAGACATGGCCTGACCATCTCCCGAAGACCAAGATGCCACAGTCTAAAAATATTTGTTGTACCTTATAGCTTATTGAGAAACTGGAATGTTCGGTTGAATTTAGAAAGAAAACAATAGAAATAGAAGATGTTTTGAAATTTGTTGTAGTGAAATAGAGGCCTTAAACTAATATAATCATATAGAATAAGATATGTTATTTTAGTAGCTGATGATGGGTAATTTTCTACTCAAGTTATGTAATCTCGCCACCTCAAATTGTGAGTTCACATTTCAGTTTGACTCTTGGCTAAATTGCAATTCACTGAGTTAAGGGTCATTGTAGCCTAGCCGTTTCAACTCATAAAACAGCTCTACGAAACTAACAAAAAATTCCCTAAATCATAGTGCCCTAGTAGATGTTTCAATTACAATCCCTTTGGTATTAGAACAAAAATATTTTGAGATGATAAATAACTCTTCAACGGCTGTTTGAAACTAGTACAAGATGGCCGCCAGCGTCCAAGGACTATAATGAGTGGAGTTGAGAAGCTACATATGGTAATTGAGTTGTATTGTTAAATAACTTTCCTAAGGTTTGTGAAACTTTGAATATGTTCTAAATCTACTAACCTGGTTTAAACAAGTACCCAAGTCAGAAACGCTACCTGCCAACTCCAGTTTAGAAAAGAAAAGATTCAAGTGTGTTATTTGATTTGACTCGCCCATCACTGTTATGTAATTATTTTTTTTTTTACCTATCTAATTTGATAGCAAAGCAAGTAATTTAACAAAAATCCGTTCCAATGAATTTTAATTTCTTCTATTAGTTTGGATGTACACATTCAAAAGCATTTCCAATCTTGTTTGAAAATCGCCTTTATAATCCATTATTAATACTGTTCTGTGATTATTACAACTATTTTATGATGGTGTTGACATAAACTCTGTGATATTTTATTTATATTAGTTTCAAATATTAAAAATGAAACTTATTAAGTTGTATGATACAATTATCATAGCCTATGATGATTATAAATTTTAGGATTAGTAAAAGGAAACAAATACAATATATTTTGCTGGTTACCAAATCTGTTTTCAATTTCATCTTAAGTAATTGTCAACCTGTTCATAGGGTTTTTCATACAATAATAGTTTATGAAATAATATTTAGTTTATTAACCTCTCTTAAGGTTTAATAACTGCAACTAACAATCTTTTTCCTACAGTCACCTGACAAAGTGAGCTTCTTTGCACTGATTATAGTACACTAAGTTGCTTATTGCTGCATTTACTTACTTTTGCCACATACTTTTTTTGCCACTTTGCACACTAGTTACACAAATAACTATTTCAACTTAATTAAGTAAACAAAGCCAACAATCGTAATTGTTAAATACCCCCGCCGCAGCAAACCTGCAGACTAAGTGAATTTCAACTCGTCTGATTACATTTTTACTAAAATACTAGCTGACCCGGCGAACTTCGTATCGCCTAAGTTATAGGTTTCCCCTAAGACAGACCGATGGAAAGAAAGTACCGTTACGTTTAATTTTCAAGATGATCTCGTTCGCATCGCTCAATCACGTCCTGGTTGAAGTTCGTTCGCTACTCTCACTCACCTTTGGGTTGGAGCTCGTTCGCTGCGCTCACTTGCCTTTAGGTTGGAGCTCGTTCGCTACGCTAACTCGCCTCCAGGTTAGCTCGTTCGCTACGCTCACTCGCCTCCAGGTTGAAGTTCGTTCGCTACGCTCACTCACCTTTTGGTTGCAAATTAGCTGTTGTCATAAATGTAAAAGAAATAATAGTGCTGCACCCTGTTGGTAATCCTTGTAACTTTAATGCTATTGAACATCATAGAACAGAACCAACTTGTTTAATTGAAACAGCTGTTAAGATTCATTAATTACATTTCTCATAAGGTTAACATGGGAAACTCCAGAGCCACTGGGGCGGAGCCCTTTTAAGAATTTCGAAACGGGAAATAGTTTACGTCCGATTCGCATACCTACAGAATTTACACACCAAATTTCATAACGATTGGTGAAGTCGTTCCGGAGGAGTTTGCAGACAAACACTGTGACACGACAATTTTATATATTAGATTTCCATAAATAAGACATATTATTCCCTATTTAAATAACATTAGATTTAACGAGTGCTTAGGTTTGCTGCTACGGGGAAGGTAAAAAGTGTTTTTTGACCATACGTCAATAGTATAGGATGAAATAAATAAATTTGCCAAATTTTATCAATATATACCCATAAACAAGTAAACTACAACAATTTTCATTTTCTCCATAAGAATAACATGGGAATTTTTAATTACACTATTTTTGAATTTTCTCCGTGACCGTAAGGCATACAACAGCGCTTCAATATACTAAATTATTTCTTTTTTTAAGCTCTACAAAACGGTTTAGAAATAAATCGCAAAATTTTTTGTTTTTAGGTTCAAAAATGGGAAAAACCCATTTTTACCCCATAAAACCCCCGTTCCCATGGTCCGATTATGCTGGATCGCGAACTCGTTCGAATAAACGTAGGTTTACACGTTTGTACCAAATTTCATCAAAATCGGATCATTTTTGCTCGAGTTATCGCGCTAACGGACACATATATATATATATAAATATATATATAAATATATGTATATATATATATGAATTTGTACGTATGGTGTTTTTGGCCTCTAGGGACCTCAAAATGAAAAATTAAATCGGTCTCGGGTCCAGGTCTTACCATGAGTACTACGGTAATAGCTTATTCCCTATATGGGAAATTCGCTAAAAATCATTGTTTTTTATTTTTCTAATTATTTAGTTGACTACTGTCAATGAATACAAACCTTATAAGAAGCAAAATGCTCATGGGGAACAGTCAGACTGGATTTTGCCACTGAAATGAGCTTTAAGCGGCCACTACTAGGTAAGCGCTAGCTAGCCTCTCTCTCTCTCCGTGCCAATTCTTTGTCAAACTCACACTGCTGTGGGGCCGTCCCGACTCCTAGCAGCGCCTTTTCTAGGCTACCGCGGTTGATTCTGAAACTTGCCAAAATTAAAAAATCTCAGGCTCAATTTTTAACATGGTCATTTAGTTTTTTATAAGGTTTCTATTTATTGCTACTGTTATGTTGAACTGTTATACAAACTTTTTTCATCTTGCAAATTTCAATCGTACACATTTTTGTAGCTTTGTAAACCTATTTGTTTTATTCGAAAATTATATTTTTATCAATTCAGTTTTTCTTATTCAGTTTTAGTTTTTTTACCTAAACACCACCTGCGGTTGCATGTACTTTTAGTTTGTGATGAGACAGAATTTTTCTCACAGTAGATCAAGGAAAACATTAGTTTTTTTTTAATCTTGAGGAAAAATTATCTTGCAAATGGTAACAATGACAAACAAGATAAATTTTCAGTCTTTAGTACATTGTTCTATGTCGTCATAACAGTAATCCATCTTAATTGCAGGAACATGATCATTTCCTCTCACAGTAGCAACTAACTTCTGGGTCACTTCATTGAACGTGGTGAATTTGTGTAATATTTCATTCCATTTCATTCATTATTTAGTATTAAGTTTTTTTTTAATGTTAACTTGTATTCATACACCTAATAATCACTCCTCAGAAAGGCTGCCCTAATCCATTTCCCTAATTTATATAATTTCATTAATATGTTTAATTAATCATTAATAATATTCATTTCATAGCCTATATTTTTTTTTTACAAAACCCACAACCTAATTATTTATTAAATATGTAAGAGAATTGCAATACATCAAAATTTCTTATAATATCATTTCAAAATTAGTCCTTAAGGAATCAAAATTTAAGAAGCAGTGAAAGTGATCCCATGTGTTCAACAATCAGTGATGTGAACAGTGAAATTGAGAGAGAAGGAAGCCATTGAGAAGTTGAAATTGTTAGAAGAAGGAGTCAAAATTTTACTTAAGTTAAAATCAAATTCATTTATCAAGAAGACCAGGTTCAAGTTATATCACTGTTATAATTTCTAATAGACTGCATTTGAATTACCAGCTGATCATATGATCTTTATTCTTATTGATTACTATTGTTTATGTTTAGTTTCTATTCTATGTTAATGGAATAATACACTTTTTTATCTGATTTATCTTTTATTATGTTATAAAGAGTTACAACAGTTTTGGCGACGAGGTAAAAGTATAAATTTGTTTATTCATACATTAATGACCAGATACATTTTTTTTTCAATTACCTTTTCTTCAAATAACATGTTAATAACTACATCTCAGGCTTAGGAACATTCAAGTTATAACAACAAAATGAACTCAGAACAATTTGACAAATTCATAGAAAGCCAGAAACAACAAATGGATCTTCTATTTCTGTTGTTTGAGAAACTAGAACAAAAAATGAAAGATAACACACCAGATCCAACTGCTCAATTTGAAAGTTACAACTCAGAAAAAGAAAGATTTTCAGCCTATATTGAACGATTTGAAAACTATCTCAGCATGAAGAATGTGTCAAACAAAACTAAAAAAGCTCAAATTCTATGTGCATCAATCGGTTCTATCCATTACAACAACTTAGTTGCATTCAAAGGACCTACAAAGAAAATCAAAGACTTGGAATATGAACAGCTAGTTGAAGCCTTTGGCGAAATGCTATCGCCTAAAAAGAATACTGTAGTGTCGCAGCATTACTTTTTCTCCACTTACCAATCAGAAAGTGAAAACATACCTGACTATGTTGCAAGTTTGCAAAAACAACTTGCTGACTGTGAATTTTACATAAAATGTGAATGCAGAGAAAACATTTCAACAGCTCACATTTTCTTAAGGGCTCAATTCATTAGGGGCATTCGTGATAATAGCATTCGAGAACAACTTTTACAAGGAAAGGAAGAGAACTTTGATGAAATAGTCAGGAGAGCTATAGCTCTTGAAGCAGCCCAAATCCAGTGCAAGGAACTTTCAAACATTTCAAAACCTCTGATCCCTAGTTCTTCAGTGCCAGATATAATGAAAATTCAGAAGACCACTAGACACGATCATCCATCCACTCGGACATCATCATCATCATCATCAACATCATCTCCCTGGAAAAAGCCATCATACAAGCATCGATCAAGCCAAAGAATCGATTATGAGTCCTTAGGAATCAACAATCTTTGCTTCAGATGTGGAACATCTAACCACCGATCAAACCAGTGTCGAATAAGGCGTGAAAAACTATTCTGTGAAGCATGTAAGAAGAATGGCCACATTCAAAAAGTTTGCATCAATACCCTGACCAAGAAATATGCTTCAAGTAAACAAGTTAACCGATTCTCTGACAATGATATGATCAATGACTCACAATCTGATTGTTCCTACGGGGCATGCAACATAATCAGTTCAGTATCCAAAGATCAGAAAATCATCAACCTCTACGAAATTGAACCTGGACATGGAAAGTACATAGTAGAGGTAGCGATAAACCACAAGAAACTGAAGATGGAAGTAGATTCTGGTGCACGGTACACAATTTTACCAGAGGATAAGTTCTTAGCATTGAATTTGGGAATAGATCTTCAACCTTCAAATCTAAATTTTCGAGCTTATTTCAATGATATTGTGCCATGTAAAGGAAAAGCAAAAGTTACATTACAATATAAAGAACGATCTTTAAAAGCAGAAGTGTATGTAGTTTCATCAGGCCACGATCCTATTTTAGGTAGAGATTTGATCCGTGCTTTCGACATTGAACTAAAACAAATTGATCATGACATGAAAACTAATCCAAAAGTCCATTTGGTTGATGGCGACAGAAAGAACTTTCAAGATATGAATAACATTCTGAATGAGTTTGCTTCAATTTTTGAGGAAAAAATTGGTTGTGTTCCTAACATTCAAGTTTCATTAACTTTAAGAGATGACACAAAACCGGTATTTACAAAAGAACGTGATGTCCCATATGCACTTAGAGAACGTGTTGAAAAGGAGTTGGAATCTTTAGAAAAAGAGGGAATCATCACTCCGATTGCGACAAGTGACTGGCGATCACCTCTCGTCATCATTCCCAAACCAGATGGTGGACTGAGACTTTGTGTGGATTACAAGTGCGGTGTAAACGAGAGGTTAGTCTCGGCTAATTTTCCTATAAGGACGGTTGAAGATGTTCTTAACAGTCTCCGAAATTCCAAATACTTTTGCAAACTTGACCTTTATAAAGCGTACTTACATTTAGCAGTAGACAAAGAAAGTAGTGAAATCCAAACTATGTCAACACATAAGGGAACCTTTCTCATGAACCGTCTCAGTTTTGGCATAAAAACCGCTCCCTCAGAATTCAACAGAATTTTGTCACAAATCCTCAATGGACTTAATAAGTGTGAAGCTTATTTCGATGACATAGTCGTCCATGGAGCAACCCAAGCAGAATGTGCTCACAACCTTCGAATGTGTTTAAGAAGACTAACAGAATACGACTTACATCTAAATCGAAAGAAATGTACATTTTTTGAAACAAAGATTGAATACTTAGGACATCTGATTGAGCAAAATAAAATCAGCAAATCTCCCGAGAAGATAAAGGCAGTGATGGAAATGTCAAGACCGCACAACGCTGATGAGGTCAGAAGATTTCTTGGAATGATTACTTATTACTCACGTTTCATTCCAAATCTATCTACGTTGTCCTGTCCCTTAAGGGAGTTGCTCAAGAAGAAACACCGTTTTCAATGGACGACAGAATGTGAATCATCCTTCCAAAAGCTCAAGCAAGAGATTTGCAGTGACAGAGTCCTGATTCCTTATGATCCAAAATTGCCAGTTGTACTTTCTTGCGATGCAAGCCCTGTTGGCATTGCGGGAATACTTAGCCACATCGTAAATGGTCATGAACGCCCTATCGCTTACACATCCAGATCACTAACACCTGCAGAACAAAATTATAATCAACTAGATCGAGAGGCACTTGCTATTATATTTTCTGTTGGAAAGTTTCATAACTACTTGTATGGAAGCCAGTTCACTCTTGTCACAGATAATAAGCCTTTGAGCAGAATCTTTAGTCATGACCACTCTTTGCCGAAAATGACAACAGCTCGATTACTTCGATATGCTTCATTTCTATCTGGATTCAATTATAAGTTGAAAAACAAATCAGGAGATGAAAATGAAAATGCTGATTGTTTATCTCGAGCACCTTTGTCTCAAGACTCAAGATCAACTGATATGAAGATAAATGAAGAAGTTCACCTTCTGTATGCTGAGTCACTTTTCCAAATTTCTTCAACTGCTATCACGAATCAGACCATTGCAAGTGCAACATTAAACGATTCTCATCTCAAATCTCTTATGAAAACTCTACAAACAAGCAACGAAGACACACCCTACACCCTTCTTGATGGAATTCTCTTTTGGCAAGATCGAGTTGTCATTCCACAGAGCCTTAAAAATTCAATTTTGAGAGAACTTCACACAACACATATCGGTATAACAAAAATGAAACAACTTGCAAGGCGGTATGTGTACTGGGAAGGGATGAACCATGACATAGAAGACCTAGTTAGATCTTGTGAAATCTGTGCTAAGCTCCGTAACAACCCCCCGAAGGTGATAGTACACCCGTGGGATCAGCCTCACTCCAATTGGGAACGTCTACATATAGACTATGCAGGTCCTTTCGAGGGTCATCATTTTCTAATTGCCATTGATGCCAAGTCAAAATGGGCAGAGGTCCGAGTCATGAGACATTCTCCTACAACTGAAACAACAATACACACACTTCAAGAAATATTTTCATTCCATGGCTACCCCAATTCATTGGTCACCGATAATGCATCAATTTTCACAAGCGATGTATTCAAAGCCTTCTGTATTGATCATGGTATTACCCAAAAATTTATTGCCCCAGGCCATCCAGCTACAAATGGATTAGCCGAAAGAAATGTTCAAACTGTGAAGAAACGTTTAAAATCAATGGCAAGTGAAAAGGGCACCATGCCAGAAAAGGTCAGGAAAATGCTTTTACGCTACAGAGCCACACCACTTGCATGTGGGAAAAGCCCAGCAGAACTTTATTTGCACAGAAGATTAAGAATAGAGCTGGATGCCATATTTCCTATTCCAAAGAAGATAAATAAAGAAAAAGAAGTTAGGCAGACAAAACATGTAAGATCGATGAGAGTAGGAGATAGAGCCCAAGTTCGCCTTTACTCTGGAAATGCCGAAATCTGGGAATTTGGAACCATCCAATCCAAACTGGGCTATCGACATTACATGGTAAAGCTTGACTCTGGACGCTTAATCAAAAGGCACATCAATCAACTCATAAGAACAAGAGTACCGCCTAAAACGACAAATCAACGGGAAGAAGATAATCAAAGACGCTCCACTAACCAACAGTCAAAAGATATCCAAAGACGTACTGTTAGGTTCAATATTCCAGGGATACCAGCATTACAACGCTCTACAAACAGTGGTTCAACCATTGTCGGTCGTACGCTACAACGGCGTTCCACGACTGGTCAAATACCAGTAGTGGAGGCTCAACATCCTGAATGTGGCATCCATTTTCCTGATGAAGTCAGAATTCAAGATCAATCACCTCGACGTTCTTCGACTGGCCAAATACCGGTAGTGGAGGCTCAGCATCCTGAATGTGACATACAGATTCCCGATGAAGTTGAGTCACCTCAGTTACGTAGGTCAACACGTGTTCGACAACCGCCAAGTTACCTTGAGGCTTATGTGTGAGCTCAAAACTTATGTGGGGAAGATTGTTATAATTTCTAATAGACTGCATTTGAATTACCAGCTGATCATATGATCTTTATTCTTATTGATTACTATTGTTTATGTTTAGTTTCTATTCTATGTTAATGGAATAATACACTTTTTTATCTGATTTATCTTTTATTATGTTATAAAGAGTTACAACAATCACATAGTAGCCTAAACCTCAAGAGGACTCAACTCAATCATTATCTTCAAAATTAAGTATAACCTTTTCTTTAAACTCTTTTAAATTTTGTGCTAATTGGACTTACCTTTTGGACAACACCAAAATTAGATTTTCCATTGTTGAGATTGTGTAAATTTAACACTTTAATTAGGCCTATTTGGACGCTATTAAATTTATTAATTATCAGCATTCAAGCCAGCACGACACCCTACCCTGAGATAGATCACATCTAAATTATTTGAACCTTCAAGTTATTATTCAAATTTATCTTTTATTTCAATTTAATTTTAACCCCATACACCACCATTGTCAATCCTTTCATTGTAACGTCAAGCCTTTTCTCATTGCATGTTAATTGTTCATCTGTTTAAATAAAACACCTTTTGTAATCCATATCTTTGTTAACTTATTAACTTTGAACATTTATAGAATAGGCCTAGCCTAAATGAATATTGTAAGGTGAGTTTACAAATTGGCGCACCAACGTGTTGGCTTGAATAGCTCATTAACTTTATTGCAATTCTCACCATAACTAGCCTATAAGTTTGTTAGATTTAAGAGTTTGCATTGTTAATTAATTTGTCCCGTAATTGCCCCTGTTCCCAAAATAATCAACACAACAACATCGCATATTTAATAACCACAAGATGGACCGCATATTTATATGCGCATATTTATATGGATAACCGCAATTTTTCAAGATGGCACCGCCGCCAAGAAACAAGTCACTGAAATGTGGCTCATGTAAGAAAATCATTAATTTAAAATGTGACAAAATCCAATGTAGTGGTGATTGTAAATATATGTTTCATTTAAATTGTACCAGTTTATCAGAATCAAACTTTGTGGAAAATTGTTCTCAAATTGATTGGAAGTGTGATATATGCTCCGTCGCTGAGACTAACGTGAGTAACAACACGGACAATTCGGTAGCTTACGACACCAACTCAGTTCTCAACCATGTCTGCCCGTGTTCAGAGAAAATTGAATATCTGATATCAAAAATCAATGAACTAACACAAAACAACTTAGAAATTAAAGTAGAAATTTCCGAAATTAAAATAGAAAATTTAAGGTTAAAAACTGCTATGTCTAATCAGGCAGAGGCTGTCAGCGATCTTATGTTAAAAGATAGTAGTAACACTTTTGCAAGTGTTTTGAGAAATAAATCTAAAATGATTGCTAAAAGTGACAAAAGTATAGACTCATCTAAATCTTCAAATGACAACTCAGAGAATATTATTCACAGTCATAAAGACAATTCTAATCTTAGTAGTTGTCATCAGTTTGTCAACAATTCGTCTACTTTGCCCGTGTCGTCTGCCACCAAAAGTTCTGCTAGTTTGCCTGCGACGTCTGCTCTTGCAGTAGACAAGCGAAACAGCGAAACTGTTACGCCTGCCAAACAAAAAACATCAGTGAAGAGGAATGGTGGAAAACGTCAAACTGAACTGTCAAAACCGTATAAACATAACCTTAACCTACCAACTACAACAAGTTCAAGTTCAGTTAACGCTAATGGGCTTAAGGTGAATAAACAAATACAAATCTCTGGAAAACAACATTTTAATAACGACAATTCGATCACAGGTTCTGCCAACACTAGCAATAAATTAAAAACTGTCAACAAATACAGGTATTTATTCATCTCAAGGCTGGCTACAGACGTTGACTGTGATACAGTTAATAAATATATAAGTGATGAAATTAGTGGTGATTACAAAGTCACACAAATGAGGAACAGATTCCCAGGCTATCGGACATTTAAGGTAGGGGTTCCTGCTCACTTGTGGGACAAAATATATTTGCCTGAATTCTGGCCTACTGGGGCATATATAAATGCCTTCAGGTTTGCTAAAAAAGCAACAAGCACTGCTCAGTGTCAGGAGAATTTTTTAGAAACTCCCCCCAACTCTGTAAATTTAACGTAGAGTCTGAAGTGACAGATAATTCTGACACACAACTCTCAACGCATAACAAAGCGATTGGGAACTTCTCTAACATTTGCTTACAGCAGTCGTCTAATAAAATACTATCTAGGTCAGCTAAAAAACTAAACATCCTCCTGTGGAATATTCAATCCATTACTAACAAACTAGATTACCTACGTTTGCTTGCGTATGACAGTAGTGTGGATGTGATTTGTTTGACTGAACACTGGGTCTCACAAAATGATATTAACAACTTAAGCCTAAGAGGCTACTTAGTTGCAACCTCTTTTGCTAGATCAATGTCTAAACATGGTGGATCTGCAATACTTGTAAAAGAGAACCTAGACTTTATAATTTACAATAAGTTAAATTTGAGTATATTAGTGGAAGAACTCACGTTTGAAGCCTCAGCGGTGTACATCGTTAAGCACAAAACAGTGATCGTAAACTTCTACAGACCACCCTCAGGTAATGTTTATTTATTTCTGGATAAACTGCATGATGTCTTCTCAACTATGCATGGTGTGAAACTTGACTTCTTTTGCACAGGTGATTTTAACATAGACTTTCTGACAGCATTGAAGTCCGGGAACTTAAAAACCTAATATCTAGTTTTGGTCTTCACACTGCAATTAATGAAATCACTAGGCCTAATGTCGCAGCTGGAAGTGTAAACAAAGGTACCTGCTTGGACAATATTGTGACCTCAGTACACCCAGATAGATGGGAAGCCTCAGTTATACACACTCCTGTCTCAGATCATAATGCGGCCTTTCTGTCAATGAACATCGAGTCATATTCTAAATCTAATCCAATTTCTTTACCGAGAAAAGTTACTAGGAAATTAAATCATCAGAATTCCTTAAAATTCTTATCCAACCTTAGTCAGTTGAATTGGTTTGAATTATATGACCATAGCCTAGACTTAAATGCTAAATTCAAAGTGTTTTTTGACAAACTGTTGTGGGCCTTAAATGGTTCGATTCCCTTGAAAACTACTGTCGGTTTTAACAACAAACCTAACAAAAGGTGGTATCATCAAGGACTTGTAAATATGAAAAATGAGCTGGACCGGCTATATTTTTTGTTTTGTAATGCAGGGACTGCTGAAGTTAAAACTAAGTACAACTCATTAAAGTTGCAGTACCGCAAAGAAATCAAGAAAGCCAAACTTGACCATAACAACAGTTTACTGCTAAACTCTAGTAATATTTCTAAAACATCCTGGTCAATCATTAATGAAATAAGCAACTGTAATAGTAAGCCTTTGTCTATTCCTGACTGCCTAACTGCCGATGGACTGAACTCCTACTTTGTCGACTGTGTTGAAAACCTGAGAAGTAATGTTCCCGCCTCTTCAAATGGTCCTGAGCAATATCTTAGAAATTTGACCTCTTGCAACGCTCTTCCGACTATTGAGGACAACAATGCTTTTAGGATTGGACTATTTACTGTAGAAGAGGTGTATGCAGCCATCAACAGTCTTAACAATAGCTCTTGTTTAGATATTTACGGAATTAATGTCCCCATCTTGAAGTTAGCTTCTAGTTACATAAGTGAAGTTTTGACTTACCTATTTAATCTTTGTATAACACAAGGCTGCTACCCAAACAAGTTCAAGATTTCTAAGGTTATACCAGTCCATAAAAAAGGGCCTAAAAATGTCATTGCTAACTATAGGCCTATATCTATTATCCCTGCAGTGTCGAAGGTCTTGGAACATCTCGTACATCGTAGATTTTCTCAGTATCTTGAGGATAGTAACCTTTTAGCAAGTAGTCAGTTTGGCTTTAGGCCCAAACACAGCACTGTCCAAGCAACCCAGGCACTGATATCAAATTGCTTTCAAAGTTTAGAGGCCAAAAGTGGTATAGTGTTCAGATCGTACGACATGTCTAAGGCCTTTGACACAGTGGCTCATGATCTCCTTGTGAATAAGCTTTCTTGCTATAACCTTGATGATGTTTTGGTTAGGTTTTTTCAATCTTATCTTAGTGACAGATGGCAAAAAGTCTATCTAAATGGCACTTATTCTAGTCCTGTTCGAGTGCCCCACGGAGTGCCCCAAGGCTCTATATTGGGCCCTACCCTGTTTATACTGTATATAAATGACTTACCTTGTAATATTAATGACTTATCTGTAAAAAGCTTTCTTTTTGCTGATGACTTGGCCTTGTGTGTACGGGGTAACTCTTTGAATGATGTTACAGACACATTGGACACAAAATCTGCTGTTATTAACGACTGGTGTAATGCAAACAAGTTATGTCTTAATGCTGATAAGACTCAGGACCTGACTATTAGTCTAAGCAGTAATGGTAATGATGTAAACACTCTGAAGTTTTTGGGTTTTCATTTGCAGTCAAACTTGAAGTGGTTTTCACATGTAGATTTTGTAGCATCTAAAATTGTAAAAGGCATATTTATGATAAGAGCACTTAGGTCCACTGTTTCAGATGATGTCCTTATTTGTATATATTATGGCCACATTCATAGCTATTTGTCCTATGGTACCTCACTGTGGGCCAACAGTTTTTATGCTAACAGGCTGCTTTTTACTTTACAAAAGAAGGCGGTGAGGTTAATTTGTAGTGTGAATAGAAGAACACATTGTAAGCCCCTTTTCGTGAGTCTTAACATTCTCTCATTTCCATCCTTGTATGTTTTGGCAAGTTTGTTGTATGTAAAAGAAAACATTTCTCACTTTGAAAAGATATCTGATGTTCACAACTATTGTACTAGATCTAAAGATAATCTGTCTACACTAAGGCATAAGTATACAGCCACTCAAAATAGTTTTGAGTACCAAGGTGTTAAAATGTACAATTTCTTGCCTGCATCCATCAAAAACCTGTGTGTTT